ACGGATGAATGTTCCCTTTTTTGCTCTCTCAATTTCCCACTATTAGTCATTGAAGCTGTTATCATTTTTCACTATTTTAACTCTGCGGGCATGAGTTAAAACCACCATGCTGATTTTCTTGGGAAAGTTCCTGGAAGTGGCATTTCCAGATCTAGAGTTGTACACAATTCTCAGGTTTCTGCGTTTGCAGATTGCCCTTCCGAAATGCTGTTCTGAGCTTGTGCTTTTCTATATTCTGGTCAGCATGACCTCTCGTTCTTTTAAAATCCTTCATGAGTGTGAGAAGGGCTGCTTTTAAAACCTTGCTCACCTGTTGACTTTTTGATGAGTAGCAACAGATGAGTGAGTGGTGAGAATGACAACAAACACCCATTTAGGGATAGTCTACTGCTTGGTCATCAGCACTGGCCACTAAGGAGTGACACACACCCAGCCCAGGGGCCTGCCTGTTGAGGACAGCATGTGGTGGAATATTACAAGGTCATGAAAAAGGAAGTACTGACACTTGCTACAATGCAGATGAACTAGAGCGGCTTCATGGTGAGTGCAAGTAATCAGTCCCACCTGAATAGGCTGTCACAGATCCCATGGAATCTCTCCCTTTAAGTAAGTGAATGATAGCTCAATAAAACTCTTAAAAGTGGCCCACAATTCCATTTGTTCAAAAATATATCGATTACGAAATGGCCTTTATGGCAGATGGTGGGGGTCACAGCAGAGGCAGAAGACGCAGGCAGTGCCTGTCCTCAAAGGGCTAATTTTCTAGTGGCCTGGATGCCACACTCAATCCCCAGACAGAAAGTACAGTCGCCCCCCAACCCCCCCCCACACACACCTAAGATGCTCAGTGGGATGGGCCTGTGTGCTGGGGGCAGGGGGGGGGTGACATACATTGGTGAGAATTTAGGGGCAGTGTGAAGCTCACGCCTGGTGACCTAAGGGTGCTGAATCTGCCTCCGCGGTATGGTGGCATTTCCCACAACCATCCTGTTGCAGGGGCACAGAGAAAGTCCTGGGGTCCCCCATCCAGAAGCTGGAAGGCGAGATGTTCCCATTCCCGAGCCTGTCTCTCTCCTTTCTCCAGGCTGGAGTGGCTATGGCAGTGCAGTTCGGTTGATGGGGATGGTGAACCTTGACCCCAGGCCTCACTTCCAAAGCTACCAGACCCTTCCTGGGGCTTTGTTGTGAAGGGGAAAGAGTGGAGAAAAAGGGATCAAAGGCTGCAGAGAGTTTCATTGCCTGGAACAACAGGGGTATGGGGCGGGGGGAGTCACTCTCCTGTTACCACAGTGTGGCCTCTAACTGCACTAGAAGATGCTTTTTAAAGCGGGGTCTGCTCTGTGGGTCACTTTGTCAACTCTCTGGCTAGAGGGTGAAGTGGAGGGTGGCTTCACGTTTGAGGCATCTGTGTTTATGACACCGAGGGTGTGCGGCATCTCAGAAAGGGAGAGCGGTGTCTCTGTCCTGGCCGAAGATGAGCCGTTGCAAAAAGGAAACTTCAAAAGCACGTTTGCTTTGGGGGTGAAGGGAAGCAGTACAGGGCCATTGAGGGCAGGGCAGGGGCCCCATTGGTCAGAGACACCTCAGAGAGGGTGTCCGGACAGGGCTGTAGAGCCACGAATATAGGGTAGCTTTAGGGGACCCTGGAGCCAGAAACCCAGACTTTCGAGGACGAACCTGAGAGAACCGGGCCAGCCGGGGTGCTCTGTGGCCAGCGTGACCAAGCCATAGAGCAGGCCCCGAGCTCCAGGCCCTTCCTCGTCCCCAGGGAGACCGCAATTCTGGACACCCCTGTGCCCTGTGAAAAGTCACCACATTAGAAGTTGTGAGTCTGGATCTTGAAAGTAACAGACCCAAATTCCTCTCGGGCTGTGAGATCTCCGGCAGGGCCATGTCGGGTGGGGCCTGGGGGTGCAGGTGGCGAGTCAGGGCAGGGCAGCTCTCCCTAGGGTCTCCTTTAGAAGGGCACTGATTTCATGGGGGCTCCACCTTCCTGAATGCATCTCTGCCCAGCATCCCCACCTCCCATGCCACTGAGCAAGCCCCTTCCATACGTGGTCTCCCAAGCCCGAACCACACCACCCGGGGGTGAGTTGCAATACGTGGGCGTGCAGGGACACGGGCTACTGGGAGGGCGAGGACTTGGGGGCACATCCCCCCGCAGCCGCCCTGCAGCACATGGCCCTCCCTCGGACTGCGGCCCCTTTGCAACTCAGGAGCTAAGTGCACTTCTTCCTCCCTCAGCCCTGCAGGTACTGGCTCTGTTCTGAGGCCTTGCATTTGCAACTTGGTGTTCAAAGAGAAAAGATCAGCAGGGGGTGGGCAGGGGATGTGGCCTCTGACTTCACTTGGGCACTGGGGAGTCACAGAAGAATCAGGAGCTAGTGGAAGGTTGTAAGAATGTGACTGGGGGGGCAGCAGAAGGCTGGACTGGCTTGGGGCCGAGAGGTGGCAGCAGGAGGCATTCTGGGGCGAACGGGAGGTTTCTGGACTCATGGTCTCTGGCTCCCCCCTTTCTCATGATACTAAGAGAGCAACTTCACCCCTCAGAGTCTCCGTCTCTTCACCCGTAAAATGGGAGCCACAGCAGGGCTGGCCCCGTGGTGTGGTTAGGGCTTGGGAGACCACGTATGGAAGGGGCTCGCTCAGTGCCTGGCACACAGCAGGCCCCAGGACAGCTGGGCACCAGCACCGCCAGAGACGCCAGCGGGACCCACACTCAGGCCATCCCTGGACCTGGGTGAGCTTGGGATTCACCCCACACCCAGCACCCTCCAACCCGATTAAGTCAGTCTCTGGAGTGGCAACCAGGCATCGGTATTTTCTAGAAGTTTCCCAGGTATTTCCAATGTGCACTGGAGCTTGGAAGCACAGCTGGTCTGTTGCTAGAACCTTGTGTGCCTGAGGCAAGCTGGGAGACTGACCTTGACAAGGCACAGCCATCTTGGGGCTGGGGGTTCATACCCGAGACTAGGCCAGGTACAAGGGGCGCAAGGGGGTGTGGCCTTGGGGCCCAGCCTGGGTGACAGCGCCGCCTGGGGGCCTCAGGGCGTGGTGGTGGCTGCACCCTGCCCCCCCAGGCTGGGCTGGAGCCGTGGCCACCCCGCAGCAGACTCCGGAGCTGGAGGCCAGAGCAGCAGCTCTGAGCCAGGCTTGGGCACCAGAGGGAGCTCGTGGGGATGCGCCTCGGCTCCATCCCTGCAGCTGGTTCAAACTGGTTTGGGCAGGGTGCGGCCTAGGCTGGCTGCATTCCAGGCCTCGGCTTGCTGCCTGTTCCAGGTCACCCTGAGAACTGGGGACCCGGCAGGGTGCAGGGGCAAAAGCCAAGCGTGCTGAGAGTCAGAAAGGAGGGGTGGAGAAGGAGGGGCCACAAATTCAGTGCACTTTGTCTAAAATCCCGGATTTGGTCTGGCGGGGAGGAGGCCCCTGACGCTGTCAACTGCAAGTAACTGCCCCCTAGAGATTCTGCTCTGACTGTGGTATGCCTGCAAAGGAGTTGCTGAGCTTTTAAAATGCAGGTGCCCAGCGCCCCAAAGCTGGAAAGCTGGGCTCGGGCTGAGACAGCAGTATTTGTAGTGAAACACAGCATAATCACAGCATAATCACACATTCTGGATAAAAGGTCTCGCGCCAAGTGACTGCTGGCTAGCACTCTTGGCCCTGGGATGCTGTGGGGAACACAGCTTTCTTCCCCAGGTGCCCCATCCGCAGGAGAAGGGGCTGGGGGGAGCTGCCGTGCTTTGAGCTACCCACAGGCCTTTCATTTTAAAAGGAGTCACTGTGGGCATTCAGAAAGGTTTACCTATCATTACAAATGTCAGCAGAAGAAATCAGATTTTACAAATATCATTGATACCCCCTCGCTGTCCCCTCCCGGAGCTGCTCGCCCCCACTCCAGAGACAGGCCTTGGGGCCAGACCGGGTCCCCCCAGCTCCGCCCTCAATGCCTGTGTCTGCCCATCCACGCTGTGGTTTCCCACATTTCTGAAGCTGGGGCAGTGGCTGTGTGCCCGGGAGCCTTCGTGGCCTGTCTTCTCCTCCTGGCATTAGACGCTGGCTGTGCTCAGACGCTGGCTCATCTGAGGACAGTTGGCGTTTCCAGGGCAGGCCCCTTCCAGCCTACAGAGGTCCAGCTTGGCCCTGTACAGCCTGGCCCCGCAGCTTCAGGAAAATCAGACAGAAGGTAGTCGAGAGGCTCCCAGCAAACCCCTCTTCCCAGGCACCTAAGGCCCAAGTCTGCCAGGATTTTTCTGGAAAATGACTCTGGTGGGCAGGCCTGAATGCTTGTGTGAGGTGTCCAGAAGACCAGCAGGCGGATGGGGAGGGGCCAGTGAGACGGGGTGGGGCGGTTTAGAAGGTTAGACCCCCACCTGGGGTTGCCAGATAAAGTAGAAATTCAAATCGACACCCCACGCCACCCCGGGGAACTGTGTAGGGAGCCCTGCTTATTTGCAACCACCAGACTGGCCGGATTTTTTAAAATGTAAGTTAACATTTAAAAAAACTTACATTTCTAGTACGCCGGGAGCAAAGAAACAGCCTGCGCAGGCGGGGGAAGGGCCTTTGAATGACAGGCCCCGGGAAGACGGTCTCCATCCCGCGGGAATCGCCTACTACGCAGGCCCGTGCCCACCCCAGGGCTCCCCACGGAATCGGCCAGAGGCAGCGCCCGCTGGGGCTTTCACAGGGCCTGGGGCAAAGGGCGCTGGAACCACGGCTGCACGGTTCCCAGGAAAAGGGGTGTTCTACGCCGACGGTTCTCGGACTCGGGCGTTTGTTGCAATCGCCTGGCGAGCTTCGAAAAATGCCCAGTTCGCAGTCCCAGACTGTACTTTGAAAAATGGAAGGGCCCCACCTGCCAGCGAGCTTGGCACCCTGGGTTACCTGGTGCTGTGGGCAGCGGGCGCGGTGCCGACACTCGCCACTGGGTGGCGCTGTCCGCTCGGCCGGGCGCTGCGGGAGGCTCCGGCCGCGGCCGCCGGGTGCGCACCTGCCCCGCCTCCACCAGGCGGGCCCCCGGGCCTGCAGCCGCTGGGGGCGGGGCGCCGAGGTTGGGGCGCGGCGACCGGCTGTCCGCAACCTCAGCCTGCTCGACCCCGCGGTACTCAGGATGCTGCTTGTGGACACCGACCGGCCCGAGCCAGTGAGCAGCGGGGCGCGCGAGCTCGCGCTGTTCCTGACCCCGGAGCCAGGGGCCGAGGTAGGGGACGACGCCTGGCGGTGAAGGAGGAGGGTCTCGGGCTGGGGCAGGGGGTGTCTATGACCTGGGCGACCCGGGCGAGAAGCGGACCCCTAGCACCAGCGGGTCTGGTCGCGGAACCTCGGCTGCCCTGCGGACAGCCTCTCGCCCCGGGCCGGGGCTCCGGCTGGGACCGAGGCCGAGGTCCCCCCGCCTGGCGGAGCGGAGCTGCCTGGCGTCGCCAGAGATGCGCGGCAGGTCGGTGTCCTCCGGCCGACGCCGACCCTCGGGGA